AACCATGGCGAGGTCCAACCGTGTCTCTTCTCGTTTTTCCCCGGGCCCCTCAGCTCTTGCCCACCATGAATAGTTCAGCAATCACTGTGTGCTCTGTTGTTTGTGCTGGCTGCCTTGTCTACCTTTTCGCAAGGATTTGCCGCACTTTTGCGAGAGGGTCAGGACTCCGAGGATTTTCGAAGCTCCCTGGACCCCGCGGCTGGCCATTACTTGGGTATCTGAGATCCATCGAAAGTCCGGCGTGGGTCACTTACCGACAATGGAGTGACGAGTACAGTAAGTTCCAGTGTTCATTTCGGTCACCTAGATGCTCAATATCGTACAGACTCAGACGTTCTAGGCATGAATATCTTGAGCACGAACCTCGTAATAGCGAACACTCTCAAAGCGGCGACGGAGCTCCTGGAGACCCGGTCGGCCATCTGCTCTGACAGGTACGTCTGCGCACTGCTACTGCTCCAGATGTACGCTCCTGACGAGCTTGCAAGACCTGCGTTCGGTCTGACTATGTTGAGAGAGCTGTGCGCGGCGCGTCCAGCTCGCACATTTTGTCTACTAATATGTCGACAGGGTCGGCTTTGACTGGAATATAGGGGTTGCGCGCTATGGACCGTATTGGCGCGATGCCCGTAGAGTGTTCTCTCAGGCGTTTCATCCCCAAGTGGTCGTACGCTATCGCCCGGCAGAGGTAAAGCTGACGCACAAGTTCCTCCGCGACCTCATAGATACTCCGGAAGACTTCCGTGGCCATATCAAATCGTGAGCAAAGCTACTCTTCTATGCACGCTGTCATTCATGTCTGACCACTTCACAGCTTCTCTGGGCGACAGATCTTGCACATCACGTACGGGCTCGACATCCAAGACCACGATGACCCGTACATTGCTGCGGCCGAGCGTGGAGGGCAGATTGCCTCAGCATGTATGATCCCAGGCTCGTACCTCGTAGACCTCGTTCCTATCCGTACGCTTTCTCGCCCTCTCGTGTTACTGTCCCAACGCTGCTATTTCTGTCCTCTGCAGTCAAGTACGTCCCCGAGTGGTTTCCCGGTGCCGGCTTCAAGCGGCAGGCAAGAGAGTGGCGTAAAGAGGTCGAGCACACCATCAATGCGCCATTTGCTGCAATCAAGGTATATCAGCCTTATTTTTCCTGGCGATAGCTTGACCGACACTTGGCTAGACTCGCGGTGACCTCACCCCCGACTGCGCTGCAAAGCCTCTACTGGACAGGTTGCTTGACAGCTCCGATGATCCCGCATATGCGGAGTACGTCTTGAAAGGCGCTCTCGCGACGTCGTACATAGGTCAGATTTGCATCAGAAGTTTGTACACGTTCTGCAGCTGACATCGCGCGCACAGTTGGAGTAGACACGGTAGGTACACGCCGCGCATCCATCTAATCATCTGCTCATACACGCCCCGACGCAGGTTGCATCTACCCTGGAAACGTTCTTCCTCTCTATGACACTGCATCCTGAGGTCCTGCGTGAGGCACAGTGCGCCGTGGACCGGGTCTGTGCAGGGCGTCTCCCCAACTTTTCGGATTACGACGTGCTTCCTTGGATACACGCAATCGTCAAAGAGTGCTTGCGTTGGCGGCCGGCTATCCCAATGAGTGCGTTCACCCTCTCTCTTTCCTCCACTCAGTCTGGGCACGAACGGAGCCTGGATGCTGACGGCTGCCCAAACAGACTTCGCGCACAGGCTGACGAGGGACGACGTTTATGAAGGCTACCACATCCCACAGGGCGCGCTCGTCCTCGCGAACAACTGGTGCGCCTCTTGTACCCTCCTATTCCAGCTGTGATCATACCCGGTGCAAATAGGGCGATCCTGCACGACCCCGAAGCATACCCGGGCCCAGAGGCCTTCAACCCGCGGCGCTTCCTCCGAGCTTGCCCAGGCGCAGGCTCTGGAGACGTCAAGCTCGACCCGATGGTGCGTGACCCAGCACTGGCGGCGTTCGGTTTCGGGCGTCGCATCTGCCCAGGGCGGCACATGGCGTACGAATCGATTTGGCTCGCGATCGCCAGCGTCATTGCCGTGTTTGATGTCACCAAGGCCGTCGACGCGCATGGAAAGGTCGTTGAGCCGAGTGGGGAGTACACCGATGGGTTCTTGTCGTGAGTGCATTCTTTGAGGTATTACACGAGGGTGGGCCAATGGGCAGATTCACAGGGCACCGAAGCCATTCAGGTGCAAACTCAGCCCGCGATCGCGGGCGTATGCGGCACTAGTGCATGCAGCGCTCGAGTAGGACGAGTGGAGTAGCTAGCTGCGGACTCGGATGGAAGTGCCCCGCAGATCGGCGTCGTTACAAGCTTAGGTAGTAGCTGTATACATTGAAACTGGGACTTTGAGCTGTCATTTGGAGATTTTTTTCAGCTCTGCCAGGTAGTGAGTGATGTCCCGCTGCGTTTCTGGGCACTCCGCAGAATCTTCTGAGCGAGTGGGGTCAAAGTCGCGGCAGATCACTGGCGGGCGCCACAAAAGACACCGGGCCTCTGTTGCCTTCACACCACGACATGCCAAATATGCAGCAGTTGAAGTTGCCACTATCGCGCTCCAACCTGTCTTCTTTGGCTTTATATACAGCCTCCGGAAAGAAATACTCTGGCCTATCCGAGATATTCACTATCACTGAGGTCTTGTTGCTATCATAACCAAAGTTATAGAGGCCATCATGCTTCTGATAGATAGGACTCGGCGGTGTTCGAAGGTATAGCGACCGCTGCATACCTAACAGATGAGACCTTGCGGGAGCCGAAGCTACATAGGCGGATAGCCCCTCCAAGCATCAGGCCAACGCGCCTCACGCCTTCTCAGTATGATGGTTGGGACCCTCCATGGATCTTATACCCACTGTCGCAGGAAGTTTGGAGGCGACGACTCTCACAGAGTCTCAAGACGAGAGAGCTCTTCGTGGGCTGGAAAAGCGCTACAACCAGTGCGACATGATCCTCTGCCTCTCCCTCCATGCCACACCTCGCAGCTGTCGAGATTCCGGAGCTCGGAGCGCTTCGCGCCGCCGGGATGTTCGACGTCGAGATGAGCGAGCAGGAGCGGAAGGACGTGTACTATTACAAGAACGAGACATTAGAGTCGATAGAACCCTGCGCATCGGACTAGGGCGAATGCTGGTGACCAGCCTCATTATATATTGTCTCGTGCAGCCTGACTCGTTTACGTTTGAGCCGTTGCTGGCTCACACGGCGAGCTCAGTCCCATGCAACCTAAACTTGCCTCCCATGTACTGCGCGCCCGGCATGATCTCACAAATACTCCGACCGCTAACATGAACCGAGGGAGCTTACACCTGTGTGGTACGAGATCGGCCATGAGGAATAAATAAGATCGTTCGCATTGTATATCGATGCTGGGGTGGGAAAACAGAACATCTGTCCCGGACGGCACATGGCGTACGAGCCTCTCTGGGTTGTAGTTACAGCCGTCGTTGTGTGTGACGTCACGAAGGCATTGCACACGCATGGAGAGATCGTTGATCTGTGTGAAGAGTGCCGGGGCGGTTCCTACTGTACTAACACCCGTGTTTCTTTTTGTTTAGTGAGGGTAGGTTCACAGGGCGCTGAAGCTGATTAGATGTCGCGTTCGTCCGCGGCTGCAGGCGCATGCTGCGCTGGGCAGGATGGCTAAGGCAACCGTGAGTGATGGCCGCCGGGCACCCTGCCTGTGGGCGACGAAATCCTGCCGGCTCGCCACAACAGACCTTAGCTGCGCTTTCTACGGCATTTCATGTCCAGTGTCTACACCACGGATGTATGTGCCCGTTGGCGCAGCGCACTGGCTCCAGGACCATATATTCTCACGGAACTCCCTGCCTGCCGCGCGCAAGGCGCCTGCAAGCACAGGTGCAATCAAAACAAGACTCAACATGCGGCGTGAAGTGACCTTGTCCGAGAGTTGCGGAACTTAAGTGAGTGATATTGTTGGGGTTGGCTGACGTGCGGCTCTGGGCGCCCTTCCCTGGTGCCGAGCGCTTCCCGTCGAAGGAGCCCCAGGCTGTACGCGAATTGTGACAGCCCGGCAAGGTCGGCCTCATGTACCCGGCCATACATCACCGCACAAGCGAGGCCGCATCAGTCTGGGATGTCGGGCCAGCGTAAGTCGAAAGGCTGTACTGCTGTGCCCAGATGGCTGCGCGGTCAATAACTCGCTTCGACGACGACCCCGCGCTGCCCTGAAGGCTAAGCTTGGGGCGGCACTCTACGCCGTGAATCTGCGCCGTGCATCCAGACCCGTGCCGGCCGTAAAGCTAGGCTTAGCTGAGCGGGAATAGGCCAGTGCAGAGAACAGCGAAACGAGCACGCAGACGGACTATGCACGCCGTTTGTTTCCCTTTACACTGGTCTCTTGGCCGTCTTTCCCTGGTATATAAGTCGATGTCAACCGGGGATTGCAGACTTTAGCGATCCTCCCACTCACGTATTCGCCTTCGTACCTTTCGACTTTCTCCTAACGACTTTTCTTGTTTGTCATTCACAATGAAGTTCACGACCGCCCTTGCTACTCTTGCGTTCGCCGCTGCCTCTTCGCTCGTCAACGCTGCGCCCGCCAATGAGGCGCGCGACGTTTGGGACCCGAAGGTACTGTTCCCTACCACGGGCTCGGTCCTCCAGTCTGGCCAGGCCTACACTGTCACTTGGTAAGAGCTCGCGTCCAATAGATGTCTAGTCATGCTAAACCACTGATACGGGTTCATAGGGATCTGAGCCAAAAGCCCGCCGAAATCACGAACCCAATCGGCACAATCACACTCAACTTCGGTAACTTTGGAAGTCCATGTATGTATTTAATGCTTGCAGTGAAGCTTTTTATTGGTTTGGGCTGAAACTTTGTAGTGATTTTGGCCCGCGGTTTCGAGCTTACTGACGGACAAGCTGAGATCACGATTCCGGAAGTTTACACGGAAAGCGACTATAGCATTACCTGTGAGTATGCGACCCTGTGCGAGGATGCAAAGCTGACTCCGTGCCTTGAACAGTATGGGGAGACTCGGGCAACTGGAGTGGACAGTTCGAGATCCAAGGTGTCAACTAGCTTGGTTAGCGAGTGCTTAGTAAGTACGAAAGCCTGACTAAGCGTAGAAGGACGATACAACGCCATGTAATGAGCTTACGATACGGACTTGATGCGGACATTTCGTGTTGTTTACTAGCGTATTAGCAGACTGTACAACGCCATTATGTATAAGCGCACTTTTAAAGCGTTTCGGATATCGCGAGCTGTCTGAAGCTTGATGATGCGTGACGGTCTCGAAGATGATGCATGGTGGTTGAGCGCTTGAGCGACGACTCACGAGGCGGGCGGCCGGGCGGTGAAACGTCCGCCGCGGCGCCACAAAGCTGATGCGCCCTTGCCTTTCGAGGATATATTGCAGCTACGTCATCGTGTTGACCTTTCTTTTCTCCCAAACACCCGTACCTTATCCGTCGCAGAATTCACTCGCAATGCCACAGAAGGTTATCCCGTTTGTATAACGGATGTCGCTATGGGTGGTTAGCGCTTTGCCCGCTTGGCTCCCCCTCGTGCTGAGCCCTGCCCGTGACTCGTCAGCAGCCTAAACTCAGGAACGTGCAGGAATGAAAGTCACAAGCGATCACTCGCAGATTCGGGATCTGAGGCACACATATTTCTACGCCGTCTAGAGCTTGACGACGATCATCACTCGTTCAGCTCCCTCCCACCACCCTCCTTGGACTCAGCTCGCCGACAATGTTCTCGACTGCCCTGCAAGGCTTTGTGGGCCTCGCACTCATTCTTCTTGCGCGGTGGGCCGTACAGAAGATGATGGAACGAAGGAAGGGCCCTCATCCGCCTGGTCCGCCCGGTCTGCCATTGCTTGGGAATCTGCTGGACATGCCGGACAACCTGGCGTGGATAACGTATATACGTTGGGGTGAGGAATACAGTAAGTCATATGGCTTGAGCGCGTCGACACGCGACTCACTGGTCTCTTCGCGGTGTATGTTAGACTCCGATATACTACGTTTGAGTGTACTCGGAAACAACCTCATCATCGTGAACTCGCTAGAAGCGGCGAGCGACCTGCTGGACAAGAGGTCTGCGATATACTCAGACAGGTGAGCTCGTTCGCCACTTTTGTCGTTCAATTTCTCAACCTGCGCAGACCTGAAATGCCCATGTTGAACGATCTGTAAGTCTATACCAAATACACCCCGCGGAACGTCACTCAAGAACATGTGCAGATGCGGATTCGGCTGGAACCTCGCCTTCCGGCCGTGCGACAACACTTGGCGGAACGGGCGAAGAGTGTTCCAGCACGAGCTCGGTCCACAGGTCGTGAAGCGCTTCCGCGGCCTCACGGAGCAGGCAGCCCACAGGTTTCTGTGCAGCCTACTGCGTGAGCCTACAGCGTACATGGATCACCTACGCCAGTACGTTCACTTCAACATCACCCGCCGCGGCTGCTAACAGATTGCATCCAAGTATGGCGAGCCATGGGGTTATGCGGATCGCATATGGAATCGAGGTCGCGGAGAAAAATGACCCATATATTGATACTGCAGCGCGCGTTGCCGAAGGGATCGTGGCTGTATGCCGCCCTGGTGCATATTTAGTCGATATCATGCCCTTCTGTGAGCCGATAGGTCTTGCTTCCAGGAGTATAGGCTGACGTAGGACGTAGTGAAGCATGTTCCCGAATGGTTCCCCGGAGCGCAATTCCAGCGCGACGCAAAGGCCTGGCGCAAGCACATGACAGACCAGCACGAAAAGCCGTTCAAGGCCGTAAAAGAGCGTATGGTATGGTGATCCCGTACGAGCGTCGTGGTGCACAGGCGTAGTTCTCACATGCATTGTAGATCAGCGGCGACGCACCGGACTGTGCGGCAAAATCTTTGCTGGAGAGCCTCGAATGTGGTGATAACACGGGGAGCTATACTGAGGATGACATTGAATTCGCGCTGGGCTCGATGTATGCAGGTGCGCTCCACCGCCTATTATTCTGAATGTCTCGCTCATACCTCTGTCGTCGCGGCAGGAGCCTCTGATACGGTACGTCGCCTAACGCGCCCGCGGTTGGTCCCGCGTCCGAGTGAGAGCATAACCAACCCTGTTCTAGATCGTGTCGACGCTAGGATCATTCATCCTTGGGATCGTCTTAAACCCTGCGATTCAGACCAAGGCCCAAGAGGCGATCGACAGAGTGTGTCCTGATCGCTTGCCGACATTGGCTGATCAGGACAACTTGCCCTACATCGACGCTATCGTGAACGAGTCACTGAGATGTAATCCAGTGATACCGATAGGTAGGACATTTTTACGGTATTTCGTTATCGTAGCCTGATGGCACACGTAGACATCCCGCATCGCTCTACTGCTGATGACATTTATCGGGGATATTACATACCAAAGGGTTCTCTTGTGCTAGCCAACGCGTGGTGCGTCTCCCCCTGTTCTTCACAGTCGACGCTTTGGTTAACTCACGCGGCTCCAGGGCCATCCTGCACGACGAGAAGGCATACCCGGACCCCTTGCGCTTCAACCCGGACAGGTTTATGAAGGACGGCAGGCTGGATCCCGCCGTGCGCCCGCCTGACGCGGCGTTCGGCTTTGGGCGCAGGATCTGCCCGGGACAGCACATGGCGCACGAGATCATGTGGATCGCGGTTGCGTGCACGCTCGCGGCCTTCAACATCTCCAAGGCAAGGGACGAGCACGGAAGGGAAATTCCGCCTAGCGGAGAGTATGATGTCGGGTTCGCTTGGTGAGTCGACATTCTCAACCCGGCAGGGCGCGCGCTGATGGTCAGTGAAGTTATCCGAAGCCGTTCGTGTGTGATATCCACCCTCGCTCGCGGGAACATGAGGCTCACGTTCGGGCGACGATGGACGAGTTGTGAGTGGTTTGAGGAGTACAGTGCTGGTGAACGGTCTTGTATTCGAATGCTCCCCTGGAGCGTACAAACACTTGAAGCCTAAGTTACTTCAAGATGCTCAGAGTCTTGATGTGACGATTTATTTAACTTCTGGGTGTGCATTACTACATTTCAAAAGGCATTAGTGCTCTCCGACGCGTGCCATGCCTTCCAAGATTCTCCGTGGCCGACAGTCTACTTTAGTCGCGCTGCTAAAACTACGATCTGTTAACCTATTCTCCGAAGGGAATAGGAATGACGCTCTGTCGCTTAGTCAAGCGTGTACGAAAGGAGTAACCTCGGATATGAGCACCCTCCTGCCTTATTTGTGCTCAACTGCCGTATAACATGACAATCCGCCCCTAGGCGCTGGATAGGAGTCTACCATCATACAGACTGAACGATAAAATCGCTACGTCTTAGCCACTGCGTCTGCGGGCACTAGAGTGCTCACGACTGGGTGCGTCGTGATTATTCGGGCCTTTTCACTGTGATGGTCGAATGTACTTCCGCGAAGTCCGTGAGCTGCCTACTTGAGTCGCCCTTGCCGTGTGGACAAACACGTACAAATAGTACAGTACTCTCTGCGCCCATCTGTTCTTCCCCCAGTCCGTCGCCATACAGCACCAGTTGACTCAGCTCTTCGTGCACTCTCGTATAGGCCCTGGCTTCAACAAACTAGTCTACTGCTTACCTCTATAAAGTGACCCGTGCCATGGTTGGTCAATATCGGCCCTTCCATCGGTAGCGCCGCCCTCAAGGTCCACACTTGCAGGTCCACGTCGGGTCGAAGTACGGGCTCTCTTACGCGACGCAGCCACCGATTTCTTCTGTGCAGCTATTATGGGCAGCGCTCGCTACCATATAAAGGTCCTGTCGCGTCGCATGCTGAGCCTCTCTTGGTCGATCCATGTGCCGATGGCTCATTGAACGCAGACGGCTGCCCTTCGTGCAAACCCTTCGACTGCTGCTAAGGGGTGATGTCCCAGACTACAAACGGCGAAAGCCTTATCTTAGAAGATCAACAGGAGATGGTCACGGCCTCCCAGCACGGAGTAGCAACGCGGTGTGGCCAGGCAGAGCACACGAAGGGGTCTGCGGGTTTTCGAGTCTTGGGACTTGAGGTACGTGATAAATCAAGGTACATTCATGGTAGGCTCACAGTGTGGTCTCCCAGTCCGTCATTCAGCGTTTCGGGGAACTCGCAGTAGGCTTTGAATCAGATCTCATATACCAGGTGTGTGTCAACGCTCGTTTCAACAGCAACTATTCTAGATGAGCCGTGCAGCAAACGGAATCTATTGTCGCAAAATGCATCTTGAACTTATCAAAGGGAAACGGGTCCGTACACGCCGTGAGCTCTGCGTACGTCACGATAAGTTGGACTAGTCAGGCGTCGTTAATGACAACAAATATACACAGTAACGACTTGTTCCTGAAGCTGGAGCAAACGTTCAGATCACCTACAAGTCGCGCCGTTTTATTGGCGAGGGCAATACCACGACGCTCGAAATTGGTTGAAGTGGGTTCCCGGGCACATCGGTTGGGCCCTATTGACTGCTGTACAGATCTCTTCCAAGCTGTCATGTCGAGATGCCATTTGGCGAGCTCTCGAGGAAGATGATTGTTATGTTTTCAGGATGCTTCAGGACGCTGTATGTCATGACAAAGAAGAGATCATGGAGCTTCGTGAGGACGACGCAGCTTCGTTCTTGACCCTTGCCGATTCGGTAGGTGCCGTATTGCGGGCATGTAAATCTCTAATCTAATAACTGCACGTCATTCCAGGTCTTATATGCCAGTGGATTCGGACGCGGCATCTTCCCGCGACATATTGATCCTCCTGCACTAGATGCGGAAACACAGTCCTTCCGAGACCAACTTCGCCGCATAAGCGTCAGGCTGTCAATGGCCTCCTTCCGGCTTCCCGAGGGCTTGTACCTCACAGGTGTCACTCTTGAAGACGCGAGACAGGTCGCCGGAGGATATGCTGACATTCATCGAGGCCAATACCGAGCCCGCTACGTGGCGCTGAAGACGATGCGCGTTTGCACGCGCCAGAAGCACAAAATGCTCAAGTGCTTGAAGGTGCTCTTCATGGTTGCGGCTTTCTGTGTCTCGTCACTTATTCGTTGTCCGTGTAGATGTTCTGTCGCGAGATCACATTACTGCACAGTCTCAGCCATCCGAACATATGCGAGCTTATAGGCGTCGATCGCGAACTCTTCGGAGGACACTTTTGTCTCGTGACGGACTGGATGCCGTACGGAAATGTCATGGACTTCATCGAAACGTACTCATTTGTTCTCGACGAAGTCAAGCGATTTGTGAGTGTCTCGATACCTGGCTCAAATTATATGACATGTGACCGGGAGCTGGGCATAGGTGGTGGAGATAGTCTCGGCCTTGGCATACCTGCATAGCAAGAACGTTGTCCACGGAGACCTGCATGTGGTTCGTTCGCACCATCTTCAATCTGAGGGGAGCCTTAACGAATTTTGTTCTAGAATAATATCCTTATTGACGCTAGCCGCCACGTTCGCCTCGCAGATTTCGGATTGTCGGATTTTTCCGATGCGTCTTCTGCTAGTGTCAGCTCTGCGGCCACTGGCGCAGTGCGTTATATGGCGCCAGAGATTTTGTCTCCGGAGGAATACGAACTAAAGCATGTTCGCCATACACCTAAGAGCGACGTTCACTCATTCGCAATGTGTATATGGGCGGTAAGTTCAACCTCAAATTGAACGGGTCCACAGCTGATCGTCGGCCAGATTTTCAATGGCGATTCCCCCTTCCACGGTTATCCGGCGGTAACAGCCTCCATAGCTATCTGCCGTGGCAAGCGCCCATCGCGAGATACGGCCAATCATGAGCTCCCAGAACCTCTGTGGGTTCTGCTGACGCGTTGCTGGCAGGACAAAGCGAAGGATAGGCCCTGCTCGTCTGACCTCTACCGCGAACTGTCTCAAATGTTCCCGCCTCACGCTACGACGGACGCCTACGCCAGAGCTCCAGCTGCCAGCGGACAGGCCGCCCCGTCGCATCTATGCCGCAGGGCGAATAACTTCGGGAATAAGACGGCCTCTGGCAGCAGGCGAGAGAGCGATAACGGCACAGTCAGTACACAGACGACTGCTAAGTCTCGTCGCATTGCGCACTCTGCCAAGACCAGCACCGTTTCTGCGTTCCAGCCACTGCACATATTGCAAAGTCCCGTCGCTCGCACCAACCCAAGTCTAGCGCCGCAGTCAGTCCGCAACTTGGCGAGCGTCTACCCCGGTGCGGAGCGCCTCGTCCCCCAAGTGATATATCGGCCCCCGCAGAATCAAGAGCTGTCTGGCACGAGCGTATCGCCCATTATGTTCTACGTTTCTGATCCGCGGGGGTGTGGGATCAGCTGCCTTGACGTGTTCAGTGGACGCTTTACGAAGTTGAAGGATCCAGATGATCTCATTGAGTGTCAAAGATCTATGACTTTGCGAATATTGGTGCGTATCTATCGAAGTATGCATCGACTTCGAGCGCGATGCTCATGGACAACGCAATGCGCCTAGTGGCCTGACTACGAGCCCTGGTCGGCCTCCATTCTTCTTCCCGCTAGCACCACGCGAGCAGACCTCGCGACGCGTATCAGTTTCTACACGCAGACATTCCTCAACGTATGTCCTTTTATGTTCCGGACCACCCGAGTGCTTCTTAACACGATTTTTAGGGATTGTCGACCAAGTGTTTGAGACCTAGCACGCGCTGGCGGCTGGGACCCGATGCCATCACGTTCTCCGACCTCGAGCTAGTCGGTGTACAGCCCGTGGCTGCGCAGGACTGGCAAGTCCACTTTCGAGTGCGCGCTAGGCGGCGCCTTTCGCAACCTGACCTGCATAGACGACTCCCTCGCACTTAATTTCCTCTCTTCCCAGTGCCCTCATGCAGTTCCCATGGTTTCAACATCTCATCTCACTGCAATTCTGCGTCGATTGAATGAGGGCTCCCCGCCCTAGGCCTCCTCTCTGGAAGAACGTTTACAAGTCCACCGCTGGCGGCCCGCTAAGCATTCTGTCGTCGTTGTCACCTCCACAGCGTTGTCTCCTACCGAGCTCTTACAAGCAGACGAGACTAGACCCCGAATCTCTTCGTAAGACCCGCGTCTCTTGAGTATCTCAGCTATATGACTTCTAGGGTCGCTGTCGTTGCTCTGTTTTGTGATTTCCAGATCTCTATGTATTATACCGTCGTTCCGTAAACGACGCTCGTTAAGACATGTGGACACTTACCGCTGGCATGCTATAATCCGTGTTGCGGGCTCCATGCAGGGCTGAGTAGGTACTCGATTTTGCCGGTAGTAGGCGCGGTCGTCTGGTGAGTCTATCATAAACTATTGGACACTAGCGTTGCATTAATCTCCCAAAGGGGCTCAGAGAGGACCTGAGATTTATCTGATTGGTTAACCTTAAGTACTTAAGTAGCGACCGGTCTCTCGGCGATTGCCGCGCCACAAATATGATGCGCCCTGCCCTTTAAGGGCAACCATGGTCATGTTATTGTCTTTATCTTTTCCTTCTCAGCATCTATCCCATGTGCTGATGAGGTTACTCACGAAACCACAGCAGAGGAGTTGTTCATGCTGCGGCCGACAAGCATGCGTTATAATGTCAACTGCAACATGTAACTCACGTGCCGCAATTGGCTGCCAACGAGCAAAGGCACTTCAGTTTTCGAAGTCCGACGTTCCGACGTAGTCGCCGTTCAGCTCCTTCCGAGCGCTGCTTTACGAGCGGCGCATGGCACCAGTGCATGCCGCCCGCGGTTGCTGTCCATGTTGTTGCTCTCTCCACTCCCGTGTTAACTTACCGCCGAAGGTCCGACCATATACTGGCATGGACAGTACACAGGCGACCGTCGGTGGTTCAGGACAAGCTAACGGTGTACATCAAGGAGCCAATGCGCCTCACCAAGAGAATACCTCTCTCTTCAAGAATACGAGGGATTTCGCGACCCTGCCACTTGAGCTGCTTATCGCAATCTTCGACTTTCTCAAGATTCCTGCCGAGGAGCTGGTGGAGCGACGAGAAATGAAGCGCGTTATCTCCCAATGCTCTCTGACATGCAAACTATGGTACGAGCGGCTCCTGCCCCTTGCTAAACGACAGACTGGTCCTGCGGTCTAGAACATGTCCGCCACACACCTAAAAGCGACATTCACTCATTCGCAATGTGTATATGGGCGGTAAGCTTAACCCCAAATTGGATGAGTCCACAGCTGATCGTCTTTTCCAGATTTTCAATGGCTATTCTCCCTTCCGTAGTTGCTCAACGGTGACGGCTTCCATAGCTATCTGCCTTGGTGAGCGCCCACCGCGGGATACGGCCAAACATGAGCTCCCAGAACCTCTGTGGGTTCTGCTGGCGTGTTGCTGGCGGGAACGAGCGAGGGATAAGCCTAGCTCGTCCGATCTCCACCGCGAACTTTCTCACATGTTCTCGCCTCACGCTACGCCCAACCTCGTTGATTCGGCAAGTGTTCTTGCAGACTTCTCTGCCATCTAACTCACTTCCGGTGGCGATAGATTTTGTATCCCAGCGGCTCCGGCCAGGATCCCGGGTTCTCCCAGCTGCTAACCCCTGCATTGGATCCAGGCGCGCAGGCTTTCAAAGATCAGCTGCAACAAGCCAGCGTCAGGCTATCCATGGCTTCCTTCCGACTCCCGGAGGGTCTGTATCTCACTGGCGTCTCCCTGATGGACTCAGAGCACATTGTTGCCGGGGCATACGCTGACGTCCGGATGGGCCGATATCGCGGGCGCCTCGTAGCACTGAAAACGATGCGGGTTTTCAGTCGGCAAAGACCTAACGAGCTATCCAGGAGTCGTAAAGTAATGTCCAGGATGAGTATTCTTCGTGGGCCGTTGCTTATCCATCAATCCAGACTTTTTGCCGCGAGATCTCGTTGTTGCACAACCTTGATCATCAAAACATATGCGGACTGATAGGCGTTGACCGCGAACTATTCGGAGGACGCCTCTGTCTAGTAACTCAGTGGATGTCACATGGGAATATTATGGACTTTATACGAACCTATGAAGGTTGAGGATGGACAAAAATAAGCAGATCACAAACTCGAACACGATGAAACTCGTTCTCGATCTGAGACGCCCAGGAAAGGTGCGCGTGCACGCAACACAGTGCACGAGATTGCACGAGGCCGCACGCAAATGCGAGCACACGCACGTACGTGCACAGCCATGCACTCACGTAAGCCAAAGTGCAACGTAAGCAGACCAAAACTGGGAAGCTTTGGAAAAACTGGAACTCGCATGAGCGCTCCTTACACACCGAAGTGCACGTACGTGCACGACCATGCAATCACGTGAGCTAAAGTGCAACATAAGCAGACCAAAACTGGGAAGCTATGTAAAAACTGGAACTTGAATAAACGCTCATGTACGCATTGAAGTGCACGTACGTGCACTTCGGTTCACATCCGTGTCCCTAATGCCACGCTCTAAAACTCGAACTGTCATGCATTGAGCTCGTTCATCCGACTTGCAATTTGAAGTAAACTCGCAATTTTAAGCCTTCGTCTCGTGCACCCTGACTTTGAACTCGCACACCAGGATGTTAAACTCGCCAAGATTGGTCGTAAACTCGCGTCCCATGGTTTCAAACTCGCTCAAGCCGAGCATAAACTCGCGCACCATGATTACTCGCGCACCATGATTTTGGTCTCATTCTGACCGATCCTAAACTCGCGCGGCATGATCTTAAACTCGCTCTGACGGACTCTAAACTCGTGTGTCATGATTTTGATCTCGCTCAGACTGATCGAAATCTCGGGTGCAGTGATCATAAACTCGTGTGCTACACTACGGGCATCCCCAGATTTCAGGGGGCCCGAAATGTCCCAGACAAGGCATCCGAAATGTAACATTTCGGGAGACTTTCCAGCAACTTTCCCGAGTGCTGAAATGCTCACTTTTCTGTCACTTTTGAGGCAATTTCTCTTGTCGGAAAAGGCTGTCTGTCACGCGCTTTGAAATAAACCTGAAACATCCCAGTTAGGCAGGCTGTACTGGTCATATGAGTGTCCCGGAAATTGCCGGGAAAGCCATCATTACTGATGGCTTTGTAATACATTTCAGGACATCAGGAACAAGCGCTTTCGGAGATTCGGAAATTTAACAGACCAAAAAACTGATGATAGTCCTGAAATACTCTTAAAATGTCTCGAGCAGGTATAATTAAGGTGCTCATAAAATGTATGTAACAAATTACCTTTATGGTTGCTGAAACTATAGCTGCCATGTCC